GGGGTATATATAGTATTAATGGGGTTGGATAGGATTAAGGGCGGGATTAAGGATGAATTATTTAGCTTAATTCTAAGGGCAATATCATTAATAAGGAAATAATTAAAAATACCTATATCTTATAATAAATTACTTAATAAAAAGGGGGTAAAGTATAGTTTTTATATAAGCTTAAGCTTAAGATTAATAGGCTTACTAAGGTTTTTAGCATTAACTTATAATATTAAACCATCCTTTAATAGCGGGAATTCTTGGGGATATAATGATGGCTTTATAATATAACGTTATAACTAATAAGTAGATTCTTATATTAGCTATTGCATAAAGGGTTTTAATTAATATTAATATAAATAAAAGTTAATTAAGTAAAATGCCCTATCTTTTTATATTATAGCATTAACTTTATAAGCATATAAGCATTTTATAATATATTAAAATAATTTTATATATAATATATTAAGTTAACCTAAATTCTTTAACTTATAATAATAATTAATAAAAAGGTTACTTATAGTTTAAGATATTATAAATAATAAATTAACTAAGGATATAAAGAAATAAAGTAATATGCTTAATATTATTTTTAACTCCTTAGCTAAAATATTTTAAAACCTTTAAAATAAAGCTATTATTAAATAAAGAAAGGCATTTACTATAATTACATATATATGCTTTTAGTAGTTAAGCTATATCTTTAAGTAGTAATGCAAACTTTTTATAATAAATATAAAAAGGATATTAAAGTACATTGCATATAAGAAGTATGCTTAATAAATGCTTTATTAATAATAACTAAGCTAAGTTTTATTAATATAATAAATAACTTTTACGCCCTTATTAATCTTTACTTACTTTTATTAAAATAAGCTTTAAAGTTTCTTAAAATTACTAATATAAATAGCGTTAATTATAGCAAGGAATTTTGCCTTTATTTCCTTAAATATTATATTATTTAAAATATATTAAGTAATATAAATATTATATTTAAATGCTTAAAGAAAGTATTATTAATATATAATAATTTATGCTTATAGAAATACTACTTAAATAGCATTGCTTTTAGCGATCTTAGCATTTATTATTTAAAGGTTATAGTTAACTCCATGGCTTTTTAACGTTTTAAGCACCTAAGTAAAATCCTTAGTTATTTAGCCGCTTATTAAGGCTAATAAATGGGTATATAAGCATTACTAAGGTATTATCTTAACTATATAAATAAGTAGTAATTTATATTAATTAATATTATAGGTGGCATTTATAATAAGAAAAGGAGGGTTATTAAGGCTTTTAAACTATATTATCTTTATAAAATAAAATATAATATACTTAATTTAATATTTTGCATTAATTAATAAGTTAATTAAATAGCCATTTTTAATTAAATTATTAATAAGGCGTTTAATTAATGGCCGGCCCTTAGTATTTTAATTATTAAGTAGTTTGCATTAATTATTAATATTTTTAAAGGTTATTTACTTATATAAAATTATATAAAAAGAGTAAATAATAAAGGTATTTAATAAATATTGCTATAATTAAATATTATATTATTTTTAATAATAAGGTAAAAGGGTAGTTTTAATAAAGGAATGTTCTTTAAGGGTTTTAAATATTAAATAATTATATAAGGAAAAGGTTTTTATAATATAAAAGAGACTTATATATTTTAATAAATATATATAAAATATATAATTAAATATATTTACTTAAAGTACTTATATCTTCCTTAATTATAAAGCTAAATGGGCAGTTTGTTTTATATAAAATTAATAGCTTTTTTAACCTTTTTTGCTTAATTATTATTGCTTTTCTAATTTATTATTTAAAGTTATTAATAAACTTATTTATAGTTTTATTTACTTTTTTATTATAATACTTTGCTTTATTATTAAATATATATTTAATAGTAATTTAATAACAAGGTAAGTTTTTTTTAATTTACGTAATTATAACTATATATTTATATAGCTTAGTTTAAATATTAAGTGCATTTTAAAAATAAGGATTATACTTTACTTTATAAGTATTAATATAAGAATTATAATTATTAAATTACATTTTAATAAATAAATAGCAAAGTTGCTTAGATTTAAGTGTAATTTTATAAGCTATATTTAAAAGATATTTATAATTACCTTAAAAAATAAAGATAATATATTATAAATATTTTAAATATTTAAATTATTATTTTTAAGTTATTATTTTAATTATTTATAATTATGCTAAAATTAAATTTAAGGATATTAATAATAAAATAATATTTAAAGGTAAGGGCTATAAAATAATTAATTTAAAAAGATAAGAAGAAATAAGCATTATTTTATAAATAAATTAATTAAATATATAAATAAGTAAGTAAAAAGTAATTTTATAATAAAGTTATAAGGTAAGTTAAATATTATATAAAGTAAGTAATAATAAAGTAAGTAAGTTAACTTAAAGTTATAAAAAAAATTTTTTATACCTTATATTAATATAATAAATATAAACTAAATATATTATATAAAGAATAGCAAGGTAAATGCAATAAAACAATGGGGTAGCTATAATTTTAAAAAGCTAACTCTTAAGGTATACCTATGTTTTATTAATATATGCAGTCAATTTCCTTATACTAAGTGGGCCAACGCTAAAAGCTAGGTAGGCGTACTGTAGAAGCTGGGTGGGCGTACGCTAACTCCCTATAGATCACGTCTCTTCCTTCCCTTTGGCTTAGATAGCCAGTCCTTAAGTACAAAGTAGGTCCTTTCATCCTCTAGGCTTCCATTCTGGAGCCTATTCCTTTCCAGGCACACTCTGAGACATTCTGGAAATGTTTAGGAGCTCCTTTTTCCAACACTCCCGCTCTTAGAGATCATTTCCTAAATATCGTCATTATCATTATTATCATCAACCAGCCTTCCCATACCAAGCTTCTTGCGGAAGTCTTTAAATGCTAGGCAAGTTAATGGTTTCGTTAATCCATCCGTTACCATTTCCCAAGTGGATACCCATTGGACTTTAACTTATCCAGGCTGAAGAGCTTCTCGGATAAAGTAGTATTTGGCGTGTATGTGCTTGGTCTTTGCGTGGTACTTGGGGTTCTTTGTAAGCCTGATCGCTGACTCGCTATCCATCTTGAGGATCACGCCATCCTTTACGTTAAGTTCCTCTTCAAGTCCAATCTTCATTAGGAAGTTCCTAACCCAAATTGCCTCTTAAACTGCCTCAGAGGCTGACTTGTACTCTGCCTCACACGAGGAGATAGAGACAGGTGCGCTTCTCCTTCTTATATACCTATGGACACTTGGGACTATATCCCCGTCGAACCCCTTTTCCTCGAGCTTGAACCGGCTCATGGCCCTTCTGCTCCGAAGGTTAAACTGCCCACCCGGCTCTGCCAGCTGTCGATCCCCACAGGCGACGGAAGCTACCCCGTCGAGGTGGTCGTCGAGGATGTGGAGAAGGCGCAGCCACAGCCGCCCGGCGGGAGATCCATGGCATCCCGTGGCCCGTGACTCGCCCACGATGACGCCCAAGACGCGATGATAGCAGCAGCGCTCCCACCCTGCGGGATGGTCAGCGCCAGGTGGACGGCTAGGGGTGACATCCCATCACGGGCAGCCTGGCGCAGATTGCAGTGGTACGCGATGCATGTGGCAGTGGAATGAGACTCTGCCTGGGCTGGGCTGGATGGAGGATCTGGGACCGTTGCGATTGGAGGGAGGTTCCCTCGAGGGCGCATGCATTGCCGATCGTATGAGTAGGGGCCGGGCCACCAAGGCGAGATAGATTAAGCGGCTCGGAGGCATGGTGACCGAGAAGTCATCTGCCATATAAACAACGCCCGAATACGTCGAGGCCCCAGCACGGCGCTGTGTCCACTTGAAACGTAAGCAGCAATCCGCCAAGGCCAGGCTAAAGAGGAAACAACGGCATGCCGTTGGTCTCCTGCCTGGGATGGGCTTGTCGTCCCGCAAACAACACAGCCGATAAAATCTGGGGTCTGCCGGCGCCATGCAACACGCCACAACGTGACTGAGACAAGCCTTGTCCTGATGAGCTTGTGGCCATCAAGACCTGTGCCGAGATGTCTGCCCAGCAGTCATATCTATCTATTACCAATTTTTTTTACAACGAGATCAATTTCTGGGCCTCGTGGTGATCTGCTGCTAAGCACTTTGCCCAGCGGCGTGGCATAGATGGAGAGCGTTCGAGGCTCAAGATCTAAAGATTCCCAGTGGAACATCAGAAGGTTGTGCCTGCCAAGGACGCAGCATGCCACCACAATATACAAGACCGTGATGGTTGCACTCCTGACGCCCGAAGATAAGCCGGGGTTTGCTGCCTCGCTTGTCCGCGGGCTACCTACATTTGTTGCACGCATGTTTGCATGCTGTCCGTAGCACGGTGGACAGGCAGACAGACTCGTTAGTCTAATAATGAAGGGGAACGCAAATGGCGCAAGGGGCTCGGGTTACCGGGCAAAGTGAGCCGGAGGCAATCATATGCGAAGCAATCGCGAGCGTGGCCAAGCGCCTTGTCATGTCGTCGAACAAAAGCCTGGAGAAAAGGAAATTGGGAAATGATCCGCTCCGGGAAAATTACCTTCGCGTGGAGGGAAAAGTCCCCCAAAGTCCATTGCCCACCCTTCGCGCACCGATACCCGCAGCAGAGAGGCCCAAATCCTGACTCCACCCACCCCCTGAACCCTGAACCAGGAACGCCTTCGAGCCCCAAGGATCATCGGTCCATTCCTGAGCAGCATTCACACTCACGGGTCATCAGCCTCTTCTGAGATCGACATTCAGCCGTCTTGGAGAAAAAGAAAAAAAAAAAAAAAAACATAGTCTAGACTACAAGGTCTACATCGAGCCTGACCGAGGGCATGCTCAAGGTTGCCGCGTCGTAAGCGCCCCTGTTCCCGATTGGTATCTCCGGCGGAACAACCACATCACGCCTCAGCCCACTCGCTCGCCCTTGGCCCAACGCATCCATCCATCCACCCCCTTCCGCCCAGCATGAGCCTCCGCTCCTCGTGGACGGTCCGCCACGCCGCCGGTGAGCCCCTGGCCGTCGTGCGCGTGCGCAGGCTGCAGACGACGGTCGTGGGCCCGCAGGACGCCTGGGGCCGCGGGAGGGCGCTGCAGCCGCTGCTGGTGACGGCCGAGCTGCACTTCTCGCGGCCCTTCGGCGCCGCCGCCGCCGCCGACAACGTCACCAGCGGCGACACGGTGCACTACGGCGAGCTGAGCAAGCTGATCCTGGCCTGCGTCGACCGCTCCAACCAGCACGCCGCCCTCGCAGACGCCAGCATCGACCTGCGCGTCCTGCTCGAGATGATCTGGATCGTCCTCACGGGGCGCAACGTCGACGGCGCCGACGCCGAGCCAGAGGCCGCGCCCCTCCTGGACCGCTCCCGCCTCAGGTTCATCTCCCTGACCGTCTGCCTGCCCAAGGCCTCGCTCCTGGGCGAGGGGGTCAGCCTGACCGCGTCCAACGTCTATGCCCCCTTCACCGTCGGACCCGCCGCCCTGTCCATGTACGGCCTCTGCCTGAAGCTTCACAGGCTCAGGGTGCCCGTCCTGATAGGGGTCAACGACAACGAGAGGAAGGCTAGGCAGTTTGTCGTCGTCGACGTGGAAGTTGATAAGCTTGATTACTACCCGGACATCTATTGCGAGCTGGAGAAGATCGTCGTCCAGGTACCGTGCACCTCTATCTGTCTAATCCTGGACATTCTGTCCTCTTCTGAGTGTCTAATATTCTAACCGTCTTCCCAGGTCCTGGAGAAGTCCTCTTTCGAGACTTTGGAGGCTCTTGGTGCGAATCTGACCAGCACCATCGTGAGAGACTTCAAGCCCAACCCCGACGAGCTCTTCACGGGCGAGGAGGGTTGGCAGGTCAAGGTCAGCATGGAGAAGCCCACCGCTGTTCCCTTTGCCGACTGCCCGGTTGTCGAGGTCCGAGCTTCAGCACCCGTCACCAACGGCACCCGGTCACACCGCTAAGCTGTGGAAGCATACCGGAGCCTTGATGGGGCCAGCCCATAATCCTAGCCAGGCAAAAAAAAAATGCAGAACTCGACGGACGATTCACGTCATCTTCGCCTCGTTGCTCATGGGGTTGCCTTTCTCGCAGCGCGGGACGTCACCGTTTGTGACATGCCGCACAAAATCCGGATCGGGCTGGAACAGCATGACGTGAAAATGCTCCACGGAATGAACAGACTTGAGACTCGGCGGGTTCTTGAACCATATGCACTATTGCTTCAACGTCAGCTTCGACCTGCCTCCTGCCAGGGGCGTACAGTCACTGACCTTGTCCTGTGACACGCCGGGCGAAAAAGTCTTGTTCACAAACGCCTCGATCTCAGCCTCGGTTTCGCGGTCGTCTGGCAGGTCGAACTTCGTCCAAATCACCAGATGAACTATTCGTTTGTTGAGGCCATACGGCCAGTCATTCGTCAAAATCTTGAAGTCCTCCTGGCACTCGAATGGCTTGCTTCCCCGAGGCACAACTGGCTCGCTCCAGCCCAGCCTATGCTTCAGCATGAAGTTCATGACGCTGCCGTGGGCGCGCTTGAGGTCCCAGGTGTACTGGCGGTATCGCCGCAGTTCAGACGGCCACCGTTGGAAATCGGCAAGCCTTCCTGTGCGGATGATGTCTACCACCTGCGGCCATGTCTGCACGCGGTACTCGTCGTCGGGCTTGCCGATGATGCTGATGTCCTTATCGCTGATGTCGCGCAGGAACTCGGGGCATTTTTCTTGGCGGTCTTCTGGTGGGATGTTGACTTGCCAGTAAGGCAGCTCATCGGGGTGTGAGTAGCTGCCCATCGTGGGGTGTGGACTGTGTCTGGAGGGCAACCTTGGAGAAAGCGCCTCTGCAAATAGGGACGGTAATGGGAAGGAGTCAATTCTCAACCTCGTAGGGACACTGCACGTGATAAATTGGCTCGATTGCCCCCTGCAGTGTTTATTCTGCATCAACGTTGCGCGAGGCAGTGGATGGGTCGGTTGACCAAGTGAAGCGAGTATGCGTTCTAAGCCAGGAATGTAGAGTGTCACGCGAAAGGGTGACGGGCTGCTTGGGGGATCCTGCCGCGGAGCAACCTCATTTCCAAACAAAGCGGTCATGTCAAAAGGGGCGCCGGTCCCCCCCCCCCCTAAAACTGCCCGGACACAAAAGAGGCACTTCCCACCTGGGGTCTTGATAGTTGTTCACTTGGGGAAAGTCGAGGAAAAGGGAAATCGAGGGAACACCGAGGGAGGGCCCACGTGGAGAATCGGTGTGGAAGGGACAGCAGGCGGCCAGAGGTTACGGCATGGACAGCAAAGCGTTTTCATCATTGGCCTGCCGATCAATCCAAGGACCCCGACTGCCTGGGGAGACCCAGCCTGGATGGAGCAAGCACCGGCTGGGCTGGCTACCCGTCAGCCAAAGCGTGAAGCTTCACGAACCGCATCGTATAGCGCGGCGCGCAGCTCACACTGGTGTTGAGAGGTCCTCGCACCAACCTGCCCTGGCGTGCAGTAGTAGTTTTGTACCAAGGTACCGGGGTGGGTGGGAAGCACGGTAGTCTGTGGTGGAGGTGGTGGTCGCTACCACTCACCGTCAGCGCCTAAGCATTTTATTAGTGAGTGGGCTTGCGGGAAGTCTCGGCACTGGGTGGAGTGAGTCTTGGCAGGTACAGTGGCCTTGGTGCATCTTATTCAGGCTCATTTATTCCACTTCATCTGTCCCATGTCTCTCATCCCAGTCCATCAATCCCATCTCATCTACCTCATCTATCTCATCTCATTCCAGCAGATCAAATCCCCACCCACCTCATCTCGCCTTAGCTAGCCCTTCTCACCATATATCTCTTTGTGAGCTGTTGAGCTACATGGTTGATCCTTACCTCGGCTCCCTCTGCAAGATAAAAAAAGGCTTTGCTGGACGGCCTGTTTCCGAGTTTGCAATTAGCATCAACAATCGCTCTAGAAACACGTGTAGGGGTTGTAAAGTGTGTCGGGAAATTGCGCTACTGGTCTTTGGGGTGAACCCGGAAGAGTTGGAAGATGAGTGAGAGATGCCGCATCATGTCATGAGTTGAAAATGCTGCACCCGTTCAATGGCAAGTTTTTCTTTGTAAAGCTGCGGGGCGATAGATATAAATCATGCGCCATATACAAGTAGCCAGGATGTTCCAAATCATTTCATGGCAGTATGGATTTCAGACAGTTGTGCGTAAACATCAAATGCTACAATCCCAAGACAGCTTTTAAATTCCGAATTGTTGATACAAGACGTCCTCATTAATTATTGTCTTTTTAAGCAGCACAGCATACCGCTACTACGCCTCTAAGTCGAGGCAGAACGGACCAAATTCTCCGACAGAAGGAGCTTTTGCGCGATGTAGTCGAAAGCACTTCCGATCGACTATGGTGGGTAATGAGCGACTTGCAATTCAAAATATCTCATTTTGAGGGACGCACCCCAGAAGCCACTTTTGTACGATACTCTGCGGCTGATATCATGCCGCAAGTGTCCATGGGTATTTAGTCACGGCGCCGAAATTCGGTCTACAAGTCGCTCTCGCTCGTGTAGTCCGACGCCTCATCAGAGTAGCTGTAATCGGGGCTAGGCGGCGGGTTGCCCACTCGTGCTCCTTGCCAGGGTGCGGAAGAAGGGTTGCACTTTCGGGTCCCGCAAGGCCCTGCGTAGTTTCGCCTTCAGGCCTACAGCCACCTCCTCGACCACACTTTCTTTTGCGAGGCGTGGCATGCGGCATGTCGAGTAGGCCTCGTGTACTCCTGGTACGAGCCGGTCGAGCGTGGCGAGACTGGCTCCAAAGGTGGCCAACGAACGGCGCAGGAAAGATGCGCAAGAGCCACACAAAGGTCGGGAAACACCAAATATCGGCAGTCTCACATTTGGGTTCTCGGTCTTCAGGAATAGTGTTAGCAACAGGACGCAAGTGGTTTTCTGGGATGCCTAGAGGACCTGCGATAACGTACCCGACGATTCACCCAATCCTGACATAGGATCGCCTCACAGTGCGCCCTGCCCCAACCGTGATGTTGGTGCTCTCCGTGGTTGTGCATCTCTTTCGGCCACCACGAGTCGTCTGCTCTTTCTTCGCAGGCGCGGACTAGGCAAATTAACCTTTGCATTGTCTCGCGGTCGTCGCAATCATCAATCAGAGATGCCCAGAGCTGAACTGCACACGACCGGGCATCATTTTCGGACATCTGCGCTGCGGCCTCGTCTTGGACGATGGAGATGTGAAGGGCCTTTCCTCATTGACTGATCTGAAGTTACTCATGGTTTTAGCCATCTGAGCGTGTGTCCGGACCCAATAGTCGATGGAATAACAATCGTCGAAAAGCTCCCGTCCAGCGGGACAGTCTAGGAAAAACACCCGGACTTCATCTTCGCGCAGTTTTCGGAAGGACTCGACATTGCTGTATTGCGTGTCTGCAAAATGGGCTTGCTCGCCGGCATCGATCATATCCGCGGGGTAGTTGTATCGATGGCCATCGTCTGGAGCGCTGCCATGAAGGCATTTGTGTTCCTGGAGTGCGTCACATGCCGACCTGGCCCAGCATGCCACTGTCCATGATGACCGCATCAGCGTGTGCCAAGCCAAACAGATATTGGTCAGTGCCTGGAATGCCCTCAGTCGTAGGGTGTCATAGTCTTGTGGTGCTATGTCTCCCCAGGGGGCGACATTGAGGAGGAATTCGACCCGCGCCATACAGAGTAACAGGGCAGCCCGAGAGGATGTAAACAACCCATGGAGGAACTCCATATATGTTCGCAGTTTTGAAATTGTATCAGAGTCGAATTCGACTGTACCAGACAAAAAAGCTCGAAGGTAACCTCGGGTTTCGTCATCTAGTTGCTGCGACCATTGCTCGACCTGGCGCCCAGTTTGGGACCAAAACTCCCATGAAGTCCGAAGAGCCATGATGAATCCTTGCATTCGTTTCATTGACACCTCACTGGGTATGCTGTTGTACGTGTCGCCCCATGGTGTCTGGATGTCTGCATGGCGGTGCTTCCCCTGACGCAGATCTTCAAGAATTCGCTCACCAAACTCGAGCAACGCCTTGTCGTCAAACTTCCACATCCGGTCCTGCCCAAAAAGCTCGAGCTTGAATACCAGGCAAATTGGGTGCATCCAAACCGTCTCGCGCATAGAGAATTTTCGAACTGCCGATTGGAGGTGTCTGGTCTGCGTCTCCGACCCGAGCCTTGACATGCCGGTGAAGTCGAGAAATCTGAGACGGACTTCTGATTTGAGCGATCCGAGTTGTTCCTATCTCCTCTTCACACTCTCATTGTCCAATGTCGATCGAATGACTGCAATTCGAAATAGTTCGAAACTCGAAGCAAGACAGTAGGTGACTGTTTCGTCATGTGCAAGGTCAAATCCGCCTGGAATCTTCTTCCACTCCGCCCCCTTTCTGTCAAACCGCGCCAGTACTTCAATGTGTTCTTTCAATGGGAGGAGAACCTTCTTATTCCCGTTCCACTGCTGGGTGGTTTGCCTGATTGCGATTTCCAAAGCGTTGCTGGGATCGTACTTCGCGAGGCGATCCACAAGGTCGGGCTTCTCATCTAGCTTCTGCATTTCCTGTAGAAGACTATCCATACTGTCAGCGGACCAAATATATCGCTCTAGATAGAAATGAACATGCTTTACATACCTCGGGACGTCGGTTTCCACAGGGAGATAGATGCCCTCATTCACACCCACGGTGCGCAGTCCCCGTTCGACATCATCTCCATATAGCTGATTTTGAGTGATTGCTGTCAAATTGTTCCTTTGGACCTCGAGGCACAAGGCAAGAGCCTCGCCGGGTCTGCGGCACATCCCCCTTGCCACAGTACTCAGCAGTGTCATCCCCTTGGCTCTGCGACTTGGCTTGGTCTCGTCCCATCCATGCCTTGAGGGCCTTTGGTTGTGGCGCGTGTTTTGCAGAAGACTCAAAGTGTAGGAAGCACCAATGACTGTCCTCTCAGCGTCGAGGGCCACGCCTACGGGACCGAGGGGGCTCTTGGCTTGGGGTTTGTTGTCTTGTGTAGAATGTTCATCGTTCAGTCGAAGGTCCCGCTCATATTCAGTTGGAAATCTTGCAGAGGAAACATGTGTGTTGCTGGGAGGGAGTGAGTTGTTATAGTAGGTGTTATCACCCCGGGAACCATAATCGCTGCTGTGGTTGGATGGCTCACAAGGAGTGCCGATGTACACACCATGGTTCCGGCTGCGATTGTACATCATGGTGTAATATTTGGCATCAAGAATTGCAAACCGGTTGGGCCAGGTGTTCCAGGGTCCAAGACCCTTCATGTCGAGATCCCGACTGGGCTTCTCAGAACTCTTCTGGTCCATCTCGCCGGCTTTGTCTGTGTATGCAATTTTCTCTCGGGGTCTGAAGCTACAGCATGTGTCAGCGATGCTGGCTGCGACGGTATGGGGCTTGTCCACGTACCTGCAATTCACCAAGCCAGCTGGTCGAGCAGGATTGGCCAAGCTTGACGGAGGCCAGCGCTCTTACGTCAAACAGAGCGATTGGTATGAGGCAAGGATAGGCAATTGCGGCTGTACATAGTAGGATGATGAGGTGGTAGGAGTCTGTTGTCAGAGTATCCGTGGGGTGGGTAGCTTGACAACAAGTGAGCTGGCAGTTATCTTGAACCTTGGTCTGCAAAGCTTGCAGGATGGCGGGCTTGAGAGGGCGACCGTTTGAAAGGGGAAAAGTGCAGCTGAGCGTGATGATGGTTGGGGTGTTCGTTGAAAGCGCCACATGCAATTGATTTGGTCTGCAGTCAGGATCCTAACCTAGCAACGTATGGAAGAGAGGCGACAACAGAGCTCACTGTTGATTAGGGGCGCCTTTCGTCACTGTAAGAATCGAGTGATGCCTAGTGGGGGGGGGGGGGGGGGGGGAAAGGAGCCACTAAAGCTGTTTGTAATGGTAGTTTTTCAACGTCAGATGTGTATCGCAGTGAACAGAGCTCTTCCAACTCTGGTGAGTGGCGCACTTACAGCCTGCAGAGCGGCCGAAGCTCAACACCATTCTGCGTTTGCCCCTTGTAGTTCTCACTTTTCTTATCCCATCTCACCAGTCTCATCTCATTCCACCACGTCGAATCTCATTCTATCTCACCCCATCTCACTTTATCAGACCTTGGCTTAGCTCACTCTTCTCACTACATCGGTTCCTAGCCGTGGAGCTATGTGGCAGCCTCTCACTTGAGCTTGTACTGTGGCCTGCACTACAGCGAATGGCCTCTCCCAGGCTTCCTGAGTGGTGCATTGATCCACAGCCTCCAGGCGGCCGAAGCTTGGCGTTATGCGTTTAGTATGTGTCTCATGTCAGAGGCGGTTCCCAACGTGGTACGGTAGCGCTGAGGGCAGAACCCCCCAAACAACCCCCTTCTCCTAGTGAGGGTCAATCTCAGACATACGAGAACGGATGGAGCCCTGTCGGAGCCGGGGCCCAGTTCATGGAGACATTCTAGAAGCTATTGACCGTTGGCAAAGCAGCTCGGATGGCACCCTCGCCTGGACCGGGCCCAGGAACTAGAAGGGGCCCACCGCTGGTGCGTCCGGGAGTTGGACGTCGTTGTCGGCCGCCCCTGCGCAGTGGTCGTGGCCTAGCGAGCATGGCTCCCCACGTGGGGCGTTTTAGGGGCATGAGTTGATCACTGCCACGACCACATACATGCGTGCAGCAATGCAAGGTGGGTATCGACCACGGGCCGCCCGCGGCCGCCTCCGGGAGAACACGAGGGCCTGATGTGCTTTGCTAGCTGCGTGCCAGCAGTCGCTGGAAACAAGAGGGGCTCGAACAACAACAACAGGAACAACCCGGGCCGGGCATGCGAGCCGGATATTGGTGCTGTTGGATTCCACCGTCTGTCTGCAGCGCCCATCAACAAGCCACATTTGCTGGGCATCGATTGGATTCGGATCCGCCAGCTTGGTTGGAGCTTCCCGAGGGGTCCAGCAAACGAGGAGGGGCGCCTAACCCGACCGAGCAGCCGTCACAGCCCCATTTGCAGCGTCCCAAATTTAACGACACCGGACTACTTGCGGGCGTGGCTGTTACCGGGACAGCCAGGGACAGGCTGTCTATTGGCAATGGGTGCTCATTTCCAGGAAACCTGACGGCACCATGATCACTGTGACAACAGCTGCCTTGACTTTTTGTGATTATTACGAGGCCCCTTCGCATGCTGCCCGTCGACAGCTCGAGACGAATGAGTCGCCTAAATTTCCCCTGTCCCACCCAGCCCACCGGCCGGACGCCCTGTCGGGTATCGTGGCCCCTCGACAGGTTCCAAGGTTGTTTTTAGCTCCCGCTGGACGACATGGGGGCTCCCAATCGGGCGACGGTTGAAGCTGCCAGGTGTTGATCAGCGAGGAGTTAGTGGCAGATGTACTCGCCTTCCCGGGTGCTGTGCGCGGAGTCTTGATTTCGGCCAACGTCGTCTTATGTCATTTAGGATTTTGTGGGATCTGCCCTGTCAAAAAAAAAAAACCCAAGTCCGATGATGGGTCACCTCCGCAGAGGATCGATAAGGTCGTCTGGCCACAGGACTGATTTCTCGACTTGTCGCTGCGGACGATCCCTCGTCCCGTAAGATTCTCGCGCACCTCAACCTACCCGACCTGCCTGCTCGCGGGCGGCACTCGCCCCATCGGTGAGCCCGTCTTGGAGGGAGACAGAATGAGCGAAAATTGGCGGATAGCTTCTGGAAGTGTGTGGTCTGGTTGCAGCCAAGTGCCAATGTTGGGAAGATTTAATGACAGCAACGCTAAAAGCTTCGCCATTTTCGCCCCTCAACGATCTTCAATGTCACGTCGTGGGCTCGTGGGGGAAGGCCGATAAGAGTTGAATGGAACGGTGACCTGGCCTGCGCGGGAGAGATCTTCGCATCTTAGGTAGGCCACTACTTGTAAATTCTTGAGATTGGACACACGAGAGGATGGGAAATGTCGCAGAGCCAGGACCAAGGGTGGTTATTTTGGTCAATGATCGGCCTGCTGGATGGGATTTTTGACAGGCATCCCCTCCATAGAGCTCTGCCAAAGCTTGTTTACAAGAGCGAGAATAAGGAGTCTGGGTGGGAGGACGAGAACACCACCCTCCACTACCTCCGATTGGGGGCGTCCCTCCATCCACGAGGTACGGGGTGCACTAACATCATTTGACCGCTCCCCGCCCACAACAGCACAAGGACCAGGACCGGGACAGCAACAGCGTGGCTTGCCCAGCTTGTCCATACCTAGGTACCGACTTGTACTATGTATTGATTGAATTTGAGCAGAGCTGCCTCCTTTCTTTTCCCGCCCCCTGGACCAGAAGCAGCAGAGGACCCACTGGACATTCATCTTTAAAGTTGTCCTTGTCCACATCGTCCACGTCTGCCCGGTTGTTGTTGTCTTCTTCTTTTCCTCCTTGTCCCCGGCCTGCAAGTCTCTTCTTAGAACAGCCAGTCGAGATACCCAGACTCCTCCGAGTGTAGACATGTAAGTCCAACCACCACAATGCACCAAACCACACCTCACTGCAAAGCCACTGCTCCCTTGCCCGTCTCCGTCTGTCTTGCCCTGCTGCTGCCCAGCACATTGTGCCCCACGGTACAGCTGGCATTGTCCTGTGTCCCAGCTTCACAGCTCGGGATTCCTGACTATCTGTCTTGTCCATGTGAAGGGCATATGGCGGGCATCCCCTCCGAGGAACCTTCCATCAGGCCACAGCAGGCAGTCCAAGCTCAGGACTGACCGTCTGTGAGCTCCACGCCCCAGGCGGCAGCATGGCGGCAGCATGGCGGCAGCATGGCGGCAACAGAAAGTATCAGCGGCAATGGCAGCAGTGGCGGTAGCAGTAGCAGGCGTTGCGAAAAGGGGGCAATCTCCAATTACGTCAACCCACGCTAATCATTTCTCCTGCCACAGAGACTTCGAGGGCGATCTTTGGAGCTTCCCCGCCGTCAACTTTCGATATCAACACGACGCTCCCTCCCCAGAACAACAGCCTTGATCTCTCCAATTTCACCTGGTGGTTTCGAGACACCCGCGTTCTTGCTACCTCATCAGACCCAATTTCCCCGCAGAAATCAATCAAGATGGCCTCAGCAATCAAGAGTGCTCTGCCCTCCCACCTCAAGCCTGGCAACGCCACTGGCAACGGTGATGAGACTGAGTTTGCCGGCAAGCACCATGGCAAGACTCGATCGCACATGGTTAGTACTTGCCACGCATCTGAAAATGCCCCTCTCCCTCCCATTCATACCATGGACCATGGCCCAGCCCTCGTTTTGACCCAGCCCTGGCCAAGTACACGTGTTGCGTTGAGACGCAGGCTCGCGAGTGGGCTTGGGCCAAATCCCACCGCCCTTTCAGCCAACAAATACCCCATCCTCGCCCTTCGCCCAGGGCGCTTCACCACATTGAGTCAAACCCATTGACTTTGCCAAAAATTGAGGCAATGCCTAGGCTTCTCTGCATACAAAACCACACAAATGACAGATTTGGCTAACACTCATAATACAGGCTTTCGAGAACACCTCCACCAACATTGCTGCGGCACAGATGCGCAATGCGCTGACCTCCCTCAGCGAGACCGTCAAGGACCCAGAGGAGAAGAAGGTGAGCAGGCGCAACACCCCGCAAGGCAATGACAATTGTGGCTGACCCGTTTTACAGCTGTTCGAGACCGAGATGGACAACTTCTTCTCCCTGTTCCGACGATACCTCAATGACAAGGCCAAGGGCAACTCGGTCGATTGGGACCGCATTGCGCCCCCGGCCGAGGGCCAGGTGGTTGACTACGACGCCCTGGCCAACACCGACTCCGTTGACTTCCTGAACAAGCTTGCTGTCCTGAAGCTGAACGGTGGTCTGGGTACCTCTATGGGTTGCGTTGGCCCCAAGTCCGTCATTGAGGTCCGTGACGGCATGTCCTTCCTGGACCTCTCGGTCCGCCAGGTCGAGTACCTGAACCGAACATACGGCACCAACGTGCCTTTCATCCTGATGAACTCGTTCAACACCAACGACGACACCGCGGCCATCATCAAGAAGTACGAGGGCCACAACGTCGACATCCTCACCTTCAACCAGTCCCGATACCCCAGAATCCACAAGGACTCCCTTCTTCCCGTGCCCAAGAGCTTCGACTCGCCAATTAACGAGTGGTACCCTCCTGGACACGGTGACGTCTTCGAGTCCCTGTACAACTCCGGAATCCTCGACAAGCTTATCGAGCGTGGAATCGAGGTCATCTTCCTGTCCAACGTCGACAACCTGGGCGCTGTCGTCGACCTGCGCATCCTGCAGCACATGTTCGAGAGCAAGTCCGAGTACATCATGGAGTTGACCAACAAGACCAAGGCCGATGTCAAGGGTGGCACCATTATCGACTACGAGGGCTCCGTCCGCCTGCTGGAGATCGCCCAGGTCCCCAAGGAGCACGTCAACGAATTCAAGTCCATCAAGAAGTTCAAGTACTTCAACACCAACAACATCTGGATGAACATCAATGCCATCAAGCGCGTCGTCGAGAACAACGAGCTCGAGATGGAGATCATCCCCAACGGCAAGTCCATCCCCGGCGACAAGAAGGGCGAGAGCGACATCAGCATTGTCCAGCTCGAGACCGCCGTCGGTGCCGCCATCCGCCACTTCAGCAACGCGCACGGTGTCAACGTGCCCCGCCGCCGTTTCCTGCCCGTCAAGACCTGCTCCGACCTGATGCTCGTCAAGTCCGACCTGTACGCCGTTAAGCACGGTCAGCTGCAGATGAGCGCCAGCCGCTTCGGCGACGCGCCCCTGATCAAGCTGGGCTCCGACTTCAAGAAGGTCTCGGACTTCCAGAAGCACATCCCCTCCATCCCCAGGATCATCGAGCTCGACCACCTGACCATCACCGGTGCCGTCAACCTCGGCCGTGGCGTCACGCTCAAGGGCACCGTTATCATCGTTGCCACCGAGGGCAGCACCATCGACATCCCCCCAGGATCCATCCTGGAGAACGTGGTCGTCCAGGGCAGCTTGCGCCTGCTTGAGCATTAAACTAGCTGTTTGTTATGTTTTTCAGGCTGTGTGTCCTGTCGTTCGCATTGTGATGCCTGCTGCATTTGGGCCTTCCTTCTCCTGGCTGGATTTTTCTTCGCAGACGGAAGAAAAGGGATTTCATGGTGCGAGTTGGACATTGGAGTTTCCTGCTGCCCGGCATTATCGTTAAAATAAGTACAAAAGAGCTCCTAATTCAAGAAAGTTAAATAGCCTCGTTGCCAACAGAAATTCAACAAACGTAGACGTGACTTGTTCCTGGCTGGATTGAGAACTCAGAGCAAGGCCTGCCTGAATCATTGTTGCTCACAATTTGTAGAGACATAACATTTGCACAGGCAAAAAGACATTCAAGTTCAGCGGTTTCTTCAAAAGCTTTTCTAGGTTCGAAACTATATGGGTATCTTAGTAGGCAATCTATCTGCCACACGCATTGGTTTAATAATGTTGCCGGAAGCTGACCCTCTTGGCGAGATAAGACACTACAACACATTGTAGCTAAGCGGGGACCGCCTCGAGAGCCGCGTCCAACCCAGTCACCTCCTCTGCCTCACTTTCCTTTCTTCTTCATAGCCTCCGAACAAACTGGGCAGAACCACGTGCCGCCCTGCTGTGGCTCGCTCTTGAGCCCCACGCAGGACCAGTGGAACCACTCGTACGGGCAGTCGTCGTTGTCGCAGGCGATCATGTCCCCGAAACTGACCTTCTGGCAGAGGCAGTACTTCCTATCGTCGCTACCCTCGTCGTCGTCCATATAGATGTCCTCATCCTCACGCTTGGTCCGCGGCGCATGTCCCATGCCCTCCCCTCGGCCACCTGTAGTCCCTTCAGTGCGCGCTGGGGTCCCGCGCCCTCCAGTCCGCGCGTCCGACTCGTCCCCGCTGGCGCCGCTGTCGGCGTCGGAGAGCTCGCTGTCGGCTGTCGAGGAGGGCGAGTTCTTGGCGGTTTTTCTGACGCGCTGCAGGCCGGACTTTGGCCCGCCGGCCGGCGTGCCCTTCTTGCTGCTGCGGCCAACACCCCCTGATGGCGTGCCCTTACGGCCCGGAACGACGCCTCCCTTGAGCATGGTTCGCGGTCCGGCGCTGCCTGCCCTTTGCACGCCTGTGGCTATATGTCCTTTCGGTGTGCCTGGGCCAAGGGACGAGTGCCGCGCCAGGCCGCTCGAAGGATTCGGGAGGCTGCCCAGGCCGCTGTTGACGCGAGGTCCTCTCTGTAGAGAGGTACTTGGGCCGGCCGATCCTTCACGTGCACCGCGCTTCATTATCATAGTGGCTGCTGGAGAGGTGGGTGCGGACGAGGACACGTGTTGGGAAGTCTGAACGCTTCGAACTGAGGTGTTGGTGTTCTTGGGTCCGACAGAACTGGCTGGGTTGGCAAGAGGGCTGAGGGCTGCTGTGACGGGATTCGTTGACGAAGTAGTGATGGTGCGCACAGAGGGGGCCGAGTTGTTAGCGGCGGTTGGTCGAAGTATGGAAGGGAGGCTGTCGGGCTCGGTGAAGCCAGGCTCCTGGCGGTCGTACAGCGTCTTGATCTGCGAGTCGAGCCACTTGAGATGCCTGTCCATTGTGATTTGGAGCCGCTGTGTCATTTTGATCTTCTCGCTCTGGAGCTCCTCCGCCTTCTTGTAATTCTCACGGATGGCCGGCCGGTAGTCCTTCTCCTCCTTAGGATTGGGCTCGGCACTGCCATTCGCCTTGATCCATTTCTGGATCTTCGAGTCCTTGTCGTCAATGATGCGGAGGCATTTTGCTATCTCGACATCCTTGGCGTGGATCTCGTCCTGGATAAACTTGATCTCCTCGGGCAGGTTGGATACGCGGTTTGCCCACTCGTCGAGGATGAGGGCGGGGTCGAGGGCTTCGGTTACAGGCATATTGCCCTTGACGAAGTCGATGGAGAGGTCGTCTCTAGGCATGATGTCAACCGGTGTCGTGTTTGTAGTCAACGATGTCTGTCCTATATTTGTATAGGTGCAGTGTGCTCATGACATGGCGGCGCGATGGGGCCTCGAGGCGAAGACGCGACAGAAGGGCACGACGCGTGGGGGCGGGGGCGGGGGCAGACAGAGATGTGACAGAGATGATGATGACTCGAACCACAGCAGGTCAGGTGAGGCAGAGTGGAGGGGAGGTGATGAAGGGGGGATAAAGTGAAGGATGATAGATGGCTAGTCTTGGTAGGGCGGCAACATATTAGATGGCTGGAGACTGGGACGGAAGGTCCAGCTCACCTCTGGTGGGTTTTGACGTCCAGGTCGGGAGGAAGTGGGAGAAGGAGCGAAGGCGGCCTGCGATATAACGGAAGAGGAAAATAAGTGGTGATGGCGCTGGATCTGGTGGATGGTGAAATTTTTATGGAGAAGGTCAGTCAGAGATCTGGAAGGCCCCTTGCACGTGCACCTTGGCCGGTCCGAGGATCTGCTGCCGTGCTGTGATGGGAGGCCAGGAAGGACTAGGCTCTGGCTGGCTGGCTGGACGGACACACGGGGCGGCGCGGCGGTGACGGTACGGTGCAGGACACTCTGCAGAGCGGTGCGGGACGGCGATATAGTCGTTGAAAAAGAGTCGAGGCGAGATCCAGTTTCCAGGGCAGGCACTGCGTCAGGCGCAGGGTGGAGAAGAGGGCGGTTGATGATGCGTGCACGACACACTCACTGTAGATAGATATGGATGGGGCGGGATGGGATGGCGCCTGCCCGCATGCCTCGTGTCTGCTGTGTCAGCCGAGCCTTAAAGGTCAGGGTGGGAAAAGGAAAAAAGCCAGGCAAGCTCTAACCTCAGCCTTCCGATGAGGCGGGCTCGAAAGGCGAAAGTATCGGTACTGCGGCGAGCGGCAAGAGCGTGCTTCAATCCCAGGTCCCAAGTACTTGCTGCAGGTGCAGGTCAGGTACTATGGCCCCTAGTGCTTTGCCCGTCTTCTTGCTAACTCGATAGGGAACCCATGTGTCTGCGGACCCCCCCCCCCGGCGCCCACCATTCAAGATCCACTTCAAGGCGTCTGTCTGCAAGCGCCTCAAACCCGCTCATGGCCGGCTTCAAACTCGTCTCCTTCCCCAATCTTGGATCTGTCATGTGTCACGCACCCGAATCCTGATCGACCTGAACATCAAAAACACTTCGCGACTGCTCTTGAAGAACTTGACAACACCGGACTTTCTGCGAGTCGACTCTTGAGTCCTGCGCGACTGCTTCCACCACCGCTTGGACTACCTGCTACTTCTCCGGCTCCTCACGCTACTCTCTCATACTCATACTGAAAACTCTGGGTCTTGTGATCCCTCGACTGCGAAACCACGTCCGGGCCCTTTCTGAAGCGCAGGCTCAAGGCATAACGTATTGGCTTCAGTACACATCAGTTGAGGCCCGATGGATGGGAATCCATACGTATGGCGTCCCCCGCGGACAAACTACCTGCCACACAGGAAGACCGACGACCTGGACGAGCGCATAGTACAGGAGTATGTTCCACTGGGCACTGCGACGGATGCCGAGAATGCCCTCTTCTTCACAAAGTGCAAGCGCGCAGCCGAGAAGTACAACATCACCCGGCCCAAGGGCCACACGGTCTCGTTCCACGTGAACCCCGAGATGGAGAAGCACCACTTCGGCCAGACACATCCCATGAAACCATGGCGCTTGACCCTGGCAAAGAGTCTCATCATGTCCTATGGCATGAACTTCGCCATGGACAACTATGTCTCCAGGACGGCCACCTACGAAGAGCTCAACTCTTTCCACTCCGCAGACTACCTCGACTTCCTCGCCACCGTCGCCCCGGAGCCCATACCAAAGGACATCGAGAATCCCGGCACAGAGCTCAAGTTCAACCTGGGAGGTTCAGATTGCCCTCTGTTCGAAGGCTTGTATGACTACTGCTCCATGTCGGCTGGCAGCTCATTAGACGCTGCCCGGAAAATATGCTCCGGGCAGTCAGACATCGCAATCGCGTGGGGCGGAGGCCTTCACCACGCCAAGAAGACCGAGGCATCAGGGTTCTGCTACATCAACGATATTGTCATTGCAATACTGCAGCTCCTGCGGTGCTTCCCCCGGGTTCTTTACATTGACATCGATGTGCATCACGGCGATGGTGTCGAAGAGGCATTCCTGTCCACCGACCGGGTCATGACTGTCTCCTTCCACAAGTATGACCCAACCAACTTCTTCCCCGGGACCGGTGCCCTCACCGACAACGGCCCTCAGAGCGAGCACAACCCCGGCGCGCACCACGCCCTCAACGTCCCCCTCCAGGACGGCGTCACCGACGAGCAATACGGCGCCCTCTTCAGGCAGGTCATCGGTGAGGTCATAGCAAAGTTCCGCCCGTCCGCCATCGCCCTGCAATGCGGTGCCGACTCGCTCGCCGGCGACCGGCTCGGCAAGTTCAACTTGCAGGTCCAGGGCCACGGCCAGTGCGTCGAGTTCTGCAAGCAGCAGAACATCCCCATGATCCTGTTCGGCGGCGGCGGCTACACCCCGCGCAACGTGGCGCGCGCCTGGACGCACGAAACCAGCATCGCCATCGACTCGTCGAGCAAGATCGACTCCACCCTGCCACTGCACGCCCCCTGGCGCGAGCACTTCCGCCAGGACACGCTCTTCCCCACGCTCGAGCAGATCCTCGAGGTTCCTAAGCCGAACAAGAACTCGCCCAAGCGCCTCGAGGAGATCAAAATGCACATCAGCGAGCAGCTGCGCTTCGTCAACGCCGCCCCCAGCGTGCAGATGAGCACGATACCACCCGACCTGGGCTTCATTAGAGACGACGTCGAGGCCAGGATCAAGGAGGAGACTGAGGAGAAGGACGACGAGATCAGGAGGTTACGGGAGGAGGGAGTGGGCGTGCTGATGGAATTTTGAGCGGGTCGCAGGTCTGCTTGTGCAGAAGGCTGGGAACAGGTGGTCTGGGCACCTGCCATGTGTCTGAGACCTATATATTTACAAGAAACTTACCGCTTAAACTGATAATCCAGCCTATCCCCCCAAATGAACAGTGTCGTAATCGGCGATTTAACGAGTCACTGCATATACATTGACGAGAGACGTGGCCATTGTAAATCTTGCACAAGAGCCACACGATCGCAGTCTCTACTGTAATCACTCTATTCCCCCCATCCTACCACACCCTTGAAGGCTACTCTGGTCGTCCTCTTGGTCTGAGACCGGTCAGCAAAAAGTGCAGAGCATGCGTCTGTCAGTGCTGTGAGCCCTCAAACCTCTATCAAGACGTTATGTGGTGCTGAAAGTCATTTGGAGAGAAACGATTACAATTGCTTGATTGGGCCGTTTCTGCAGATCTACCTGGGCGGATATGCTACACATCCTCTTTCAGGCATACAATATTCGTGCTTTCGTAGTCGAGTACACCTCTTCTATTCTTTTTCTGCGCTAATTCAACATTAGGCGGTTCAATCCTTATAGACATTCAACAGTATCGTCGATATTCACAGATGAGGCAAGAGCATTTTCTCATATATATCAGTTGTGCATCCCAACCGCCCTCTCTGCCTCCAACTCAACCATCTTTCTTTTCAAGCCTCTGGACTGGTAGCCCACATACAAGACCATACTGACTCCCACAACAAGCCCTAATGACAACAGTATGAGATTGACGGGTATCGGGTCTCCTCCAAATGTCGAATGGAGCAGATAGTCCAAGCCAGACTGCGAGAAGTTGAACAGACCCGACAAGCAGATGATAGTCCCGTATACGGTACCAAATGTCTTGAACCCAAAGACCTTTGCGCTATAATCTGAGACCGCTGTGTAGTAGAATGGCCTGTAAAGGACGAAGAGGACCACGTTGGCGTACGCAGCCCACAATTCTGGGATTACTCCGAAGACGCCTATAGCAGTTGTTACGGTGACCAGCCAGAAGAGGACTGTGACGGTGGAGAAGTGGTCGAGGAGCAGGCCGATGAATGGGATGGAAAGGATGCCACCAATTGGTAGGGCCAGGTCAAAAAATTCGTTGACCTGAACAGCCCGGTCGTGGGAGTGCAGAAGGGCTTCATACTGTGGCCGGATGGTGGCCACGAAGTAGTTGATTCTTGTCATTTGGATTACTGCAAGGATGGTCAGTGAGGACAGTCCCGTATAATGCGGATTGGGTTCGATACAGACCTGTAAAGGCACATATTAAAATGAACCAAGGAGATCTGATCTGCTGCCATGCGGTATAAGGGTGCATAACGCCCCACACGCCGGAGATGTCGTTCTTCTTCTCTTCCTTTTGCTGCTGTTTGTCCGCCCTCACGGAACCGAGCAGGTCCTCAAGATCCGCCGCGATAGCATCTCTGTGCTCTATTCTTTCCTGCTCCAGAAGCGCCGTGTTCTCGTCCATCTGATCAGCATGCCGAGGCAGAGGCTGATCGACCTGCTCGATCATCTCTCCAATTGTTTTATATGAATGCTTTGGTAGCAATATAAACTGTAACAGAGCAATTATGAGTGGGACAACAAGATACGCCAGGAAGAACTTGTCGTGGCCGAAAGATCCACCTGTTTTCTCAAAGATCACGCGGTACACCAGGAACAGTGCGCTGGAAGCATCAAAGGCACCAGTCAGGAGGGCAAGTATGAGCCCTGAATGCTTCGGGAAAGCATTTGAGAGCTGGAAGGATGAGATATATGTGAAGGGCCCACCGAGGGCCAGAAACAGATAACCGACAAGCAGGCCATCAAATGGCAGGCTCTCCTCGAATGCCATGAATAGGGACCCGGCGGTCAAGAACAGGGCGCCGGACAGGCCACACACACGAGGGCCAAAGTGGTCTAGAATGGTCCCGATCGGAAGAGCAGCAACATTCGTCGACACGGCGGCCACAGTGAACATGAGGTTTAGGCGAATCTCAACACACGTATCAACGTCATCGGGGCTTGCATCAGAGCCACCGGCGCCGCAGACATCCTGATAAGCGCCCTCCTTCTTCAGAACGGGCTTGAGTGCTGCATATCCAAAGACTGTGCCTGCTGCGAAGAGGCAGTAGATGACTGTCGCAAACACCTGTACTGCGTGGTGAGACATGCAAGATTAGTGGCTGGCCCCTGCGCAGAGTTGGGGAAGGAAGGGGTGCGTGCACTCGGGCTGCGCTCCGACTTACAAACTCTCTTCCACTTTGGGACTTCGAATGCACCCACGGACTCAAGGTACCCAGGTTGGCTCGTGGGAGGGTCCCAAGATTCCGGTAGGGGATTGAAACTGAGGCGTCTGTCGCGGCTGCTGGGTGATGGAGATCTCCGGTGCCCCTCGACTGATAAATGGGAGAAGGACTCGAGTGAGGATATGCGGTTCAGGGACATCCTGCGTGTAGCCTGCCCTAAAGCTGCGTGTCGACAGAGGTATACTAAGATTGCAGAAAGGCCCAGGAAGACTCAGGTGGAAGAATAGGAAATAATTGAGAAAGAAAGGAAAATATACACGTCTAAATAGATTTGCATCCGTCTTCTGCGGCTGTTCAGGAAAAAAGGGTGCAGGTGACCGTCCACGACAATGTCCGTTTCCCATCCTGACGACAAGTCACGTAATAGGTGGGGTCCTAGGCCAAGTTTCACCTGCACTGATTGGACAATGGGCCCCATGACTGCTCGCTTGTACTATGAGTCGGGGTGGCTAGTACCAACTGCAGACGTCCGCCTTCTGCTCCAAATGTGAAGCTCCCCAAAAGGTCCGGTGCTGAACAAAGACATTGAAATCCTGTTCGACAAAGACAGCAGATGAAGTCCTCGAACATGTCTCTTTTCTTTTCAAGAGTCCATGGACAGTGGCATTCTACAGAGCGTGCGTGAGTCGGTTTAGAAAATCCTCAACCCTCTGCCCCCCACCCCCATCCAAGGTCCTGGATCCGGTGCAGACGAGAAACTCGCTTGTCACCTGCTTTCCTTTTGCCACGCCCAGCAACGCATATAGCCTCCTCCTGCGAGCATGAACCAAACCTGCAGTGTTCGGAATTCAAGGATCCACCCACACGGACAGGAGAGAGAGAAAAATCTGCTTGCTGCAGATGCAACCTCTGCTAGACTGCGTTTCGATCGCCCGCAGGCCCATCAAAAGTTTTGATCCGGTCTAGTGGCCGCCCTCGCAACTGATCAGCCGCTGAAAATGGATTTTTTTTTTTTTAACCCTGCAACGCAAGGTTCGGCCGACGCGGCGGCGATCTCCGTGACCAAGAGACTTTTGCACTGGTATCAGTGAGATCTCACTTACGTTCTGGACCTTCCTGTCACCCCAAGGCGCATCACAGTAGTCTTCCGGGCAATTCGATATCTTGACCGAAAGCGGAGCACGGTCATATCGCTTCGGCCGCTCAGTTTTGATTGCCTTCTGGACTCAATCGGACCTGTACCTGGATGTACTATAGAGCGTTGCTGCTGTCTCACCTCGCCCGCGGTAGCAGCTCGCAGGGACCCCGCATCACGGTGCAGGTGGCTTGAGAAGAGCATATCCAGACAAGGGGCCCCGCATGGAGGCGTCAACTGTCCAAGGACATGGCATCCACTGGAAGGGAGCACTGGCAAGACAGCCACTACATGTTCATAATGGCGAAGTGCAATTATATGTTTACATCATTTTAACAAGCCATGGTCGCCCAGAGGCCCCAGATGGGGTAGACCCATACTTACCCTACCATCCCATCTGACGATCAACCGGACCGTTCCGCAGCCCACAAGAACCTGGCCTCGAGCTGGCCCATATCTACCTGCTGGTACAATGGCTGGGTCAGATTCACAAAGAGAACCACAGAGGGTCACACCCACATTCAGCTTCGACATTGCGACGTCTACCAACAGCATGGTCGAGCGACCAATGCCCATGCTGTTGACGTGCTGCTTCTGCAGGCTCGGGTGCCACGGCCCAGTTCTGCCTTGCCTCCGACTGGCTGTGAGGTCGGTAGATGTTCATGAGGACGCTGCAGTACAACAACGACTGTGCAAAGCCAAGTGCTATCTGGGGTTACAGACTTGGGGAATGGGCCTCCTATGCTACTCGCTATTGGTCTCGTTCCTACCGGCGATTGTTCTGCCAAAAGCTGACCTTGTGTCTGGCTACAGTAGACGACCTGTCATTCCCGTATGGCATAGCTCGAAGACGGATCCCGGCCTGTTGCAAAGCAGATACGCGCCCTCGACTGGACATTAACTTACTCCTAAATGGAAATACTGTGCCTAACGCAGCTCAGTATTGATCAAGCACTGGCCTGTTAGGATTCACACCAGGCTCTTAATCCTTGCTGCTCACTCTCGGACTGTTTCTTCCCTTGGTTGGGAACAGAAACAGTGCAAGCTTGACCATTTCCTCCCTTGACAAGGCCTCGGCCTCTCGTGGCGGAGCTGGCGCAACCTATGCACTGGAACACGTTGAAGATGTGGTAGAGGGGCCTTCCCTTCATCAACGTGCCGAGGCTGTCCAATGGTCCCCCGGAATTTGTGACTACGTCAACTTCGACCCGCACCTACATAGATCGGGCCGTCTGCTCTCCCGGCCCAAGCCACGCGGGCTGGAAAGCACCCGGTGATGAAAAGCAGCTGCATTGCATAGTGGGCCGAGCATGCAGGTCCTTGACCCCAGCCGCGGGCATGAGCCACTCTGCCTGTGACTGCGGTTGCAACTGGCCCTATGTAATCGACACAGGGACCATTCCATGACCAGCTTGTCCTTGGACACACCAGCGTTGATCATGCTGCCACGAGCCGCCAAACCTAGAGCTGGCAGTCTTGACACGACCGCCAATCACAACGACCGCGAAAATGCAGAGCAGACACTGGGACCTTTGCAGTTGCCATTCGAACATGCGGACAGGGGTAAAGCTCTCGGGAAGCAGTGATTATTCAGTTGAGCGTGGCCCAAGCTCCTACTGTTGTTCCGCCCTGCTGGGGCCAGATTTATGTGTGCTGTGGAGTCCTCATTGCTGTTAGGCATTTGGGCTCCAGCAGGGATTACAGTACCAAGGAATTGGCGGCGGCTAAATATCTATTCGTGCCCCTCAGCCCTTCACAGCCAGCTACCGGAGCAGCGAACCCGCGAGCAAAACCTGCATGCACAACCTGGGACTCTATGAGCATGACCGATATCGACGCATTACATACTGGGTCAGACACTGGGTCACCCAGAGTCATCAGCCTCTCGGCGCTGCGGCTCAGGAGATTCACAGCCGACAAGGTTGCGTGGGCGCTTGCAAGAAATGACACTCCAGGAGCTCCGCAGGCTGTTATTTGCTACACCATCTGTTGTAAGCGCCCGGCGCCCGGCACCAATCACCACCCAGGCCCGCGATGTTCCTGGGCGGGGCCCAATCGAGGCAGCTCCCAAAGAGGGGACGGGGAGAGGAGGGCATGGGGCAGTCGCCCCTCCACTCCACCCCACCCAGCTGCTCTCCACAAGTCCACCACCCTCACCCTCGCTGAACGAGCCTGTCAAGGTGAGCCAGATGCCGCCGCCGCCGCAGTCAGCCAGCCAGCAAGCAGCCCGTGTCCTGCCTGTCCTTGTCCGTCCTGCAGTCTTGCTTCCTCCCGCCGCCCAGCAAAGCCCCATAGTTGCAATACCTAGCTACCTAACCCTGCCCTGTTCCTGGGCTTGTCTGCATGCGCGGGCACTCGCCTCGACAGTCTGACTGGTTCTGTCCACACTCCGGTACTTGATCATGGCGTTTCACCCTTGACATCTTGCTTCCTACGTCTGCTTGCTCATTGAACATCCTCTCGTGTGTCTGAAACTCTGTTCTCTCCTCGAGCACCAACTCGAGTCTCTTGTCTTTCGCACACTGACCAGCCCAGTTTTTCTCCGAGGGTCGGCCTGATATGCGGCCTCAGTAGCCACCGAGCCCCCCACCAGCCAGCCCTATCATCGACCAGTGACGACGGCGTACAGAGATACGCAGATTTCGCCTAGGCAGCTTCCAACACAGGCGCGACAACATCTCGTGCGCGGCGCATCATATCTCGGTGACGCGCCCCATAGCTGTACACTTGCGCAAGCTCCCCGAAGCTCCTGCCGAGTGGAATACGCCCCAGGCCCGCAGCCCAGCATGTCTGACCGAGGTCGCGGCATCCCGGAGGAGGAGCTCTTCATGAGCCGCCCAGCACGGGATGACGGCGACAGCCCTACCATCGAACCCCTGAGAATCTTCAAACCTCAGAGCCCCAGGCCGGCCGTAGATAAGCAGACCGACCACCGCTTCAAGTATCCCTACCCGGTTCCGACATCCTCTGCGGGCTCCTCCTCCTCGAAGCCAGCCTTCCCCTTGCCACCCGGCGCATCCAGCTCTGCGGCGCCCTTGCCCTACCCAGACGAAGACGACGACCGATTCACCTCCCAGTCTACTCGTCCAACGTATACCACAGACAGCCGCAAGTCTTCGGCTGCCTCAGGAAGGGTATACGGCTCGGGAGGCTCTTCGAGCCCTGCACCTGGGAGCTACAACGATATATCGCCCCGGTTCAACCTCAGTCCTGTGGGCGACAACCGTCCCGGCCTCGCGGAGAGAAGAGGCACAGCTCCTAAGCCCATCACAAGCCCGACAAGTCCTGGTGGCGATAAGGACGAGCTCTTCGCAAAACCTCTGAAGAACCAGCAGAAGGCGTCCTCAACGTGGCAGAGTAAGCCATATTACCCACCGCCCGAGAGCACTACCTCATCCGGCTCAGGTTCGAGCTCTCACACCGCCAATGCAAATGTACATGCTCAGCGCCAGGATTCGAACCATCTGGCCATGCCTTCTGATGGGATGAACCGCTTCCCGTCTACCGCCTCAAACTCCACCACCAAGGCCAACAGGGGCTCGCCTCCCCCACCTGAAACTCCCATCGTCGAACCAGGGAATATACCAGGTGGTGGTATCGAAGCCCGGTATGCGGCCGCCGGCATATCTGGCACCGCGACCCTGAACGCCCTGCAAGCGCAGCAGGCGCAGAGTGCTGCAGCTTCGCAGCGGCTTGCTCAATATGGCGGCCAGCAGCCACAGCAGCCACAGCCCACACGGCCCTGGACTCCCACCGATCACCAAAATACCCACGATGCCCCCACCGTATACCAAGGCTCTGCTCCGGTGGGCAGTCCGCCGCAGGCCGCTCACCCTGCTCAGCCTCGCCCGAACGCCTCGGGCGATGGGCCTGCGCTCCAAGTGAGTGTGTTGGAGCAGGACTTTCAGCGCATGCAAGCGTCAACACCACCGCCTGCGTACACCAGTGTGAATCCCGGTGGGTCATCTGCCTACCCAGCGGAAAAGCAGAGGCCTGCGGCCGGGAGACAAAGCAGTGCGAGCTCTGCTACAGCAGCTCCTCAACAGTCAGCAGCAGCTGCTGCTGTTGCTTCTACTCCAGCCCAAAGCGCTTCTGCTGGTCCGAGTGACGGAAAGAAGCCAACGATTTCAACCTCGTCTGTCGCCGCCGCCGGACTGGCTTCTCCCGTTACGGCGCCACACAATGCGAACCACCCAGCTTTCGCGAACGACCCAAGACCGGCAAGCGCGCAGAATGGCCATCCAGCCCTGCAGCACACGCCTTCCGTGCTCACCCAGGCACAGTCGCCTCCTCCGCTGCCAGAAGGTTGGATCGCGCACTTGGATCAAAACTCAGGCCAGTATTACTATATCCACCTCGCGACGCAGGCGACGCAATGGGAATTTCCCAAAGGACCGACCCCGATGTCGCAAGACGTGGCGCCCCTTTCCCCTGTGGGCTCAACGTACGGCAACCCGCTGGCATCTCCCTTCTTGGGAGGCAAGCAATCTCTGGCCTCACCTGGGCTATATCCTCCGTCCACTCCGGGGTATGCAGAGAGCATCATGAGTGTCGCAACAGCTACGCCATCAGCAGCAGGCTTCTCAGGGCCACCACCCAGCGCTGGTGTGGACATGTACAAGATTTCACCAACAAACGGTGTGTACTTCGGGCCGTACCTCCGGTACACCAACATGGACGTCGAAAAAGGACAATGGCTTGGCAGTATCATGATCATCACAGACGCTCCGCAGCCTCCCACAATCCATATGCATTTGAGCGTGGACCTCTCCCCGAATCCACGGCAGCTGATCCCACAGTCCATATATACTCACCAGCGTTGGACGTTCTATAAGTATGAAATTGACATTCCGATGGGCGAAGGCGGCTCTGAGCGATGGACATACGCGATCACATCACACCTGGGATGTACCAGATACGAGTTTGTCGTTGCTGGCCGACATGAGAATGGCTGGCGGTTCATCGCGCACTCGGGTAATGACTTCGCTGTGAGCACGTCGCAGAACGAGCGGGCCAAGCTTGGTGGCGCGGGTCTCATGTGGAAGGACGTGCTGCAGAAAAACGTTGAATGTGGTGGCTTCCACGTCCAGATGGGGCTGGGAGACCAGATTTACGGAGACCGTCTGTGGAAAGAGGTTCCTCTCCTCAAGCAGTGGCTCTCCATGCAAGGCAGGGAAAACCGTAAGAATGCACAGTGGACTGCACGGCACGAGGAGGACGTTTCCCATGCGTACTTCCACTACTATACTAGCCACTTCGACCAGCCTTTCCTGCGTGAAGCGTTTGCGCAAATTCCTCACATCCTGCAGCTTGACGATCACGACATGTAAGTAACAACCCCACGGGGCTGGAAGCGGACACTCTCTAACCTGATACAGCTTCGATGGCTTCGGCTCGTATCCCGCATATATGCAGCAGTCAGCCATATTCAAGAACATCGGGCGGATAGCCATCGAGATGTACCTGCTGTTCCAGCACCACACTACTATCGAGATCCTCCGCAACGTTAACCATGATCTGGACCTCTTCACTATTACGGGTACGGGATGGCATTTTGTCAAGTACCTTGGCCCATCCGTTGTCGTAGCAGGACCGGATCTGCGGTCGGAGAGGAATCAGAATCGCGTCATGGCCGGACCCACGTACCAGGGAATATTCCCCAAGGTCGCCATGCTACCACCCTCCGTACAGCACTGCATTTGGATGCTCTCAGTCCCGGTTGTTTACCCGCGTCTCGACACGGTTGAGACACTGGCAAACACATTCGCCACGGGCAAGAAGGCAGTCAATTCAACATACAACCTACTTGGCAAAGCAACTTCGTCCGTCGCAGGCATTATTGGTGGCAAAGAGGTCGTTTCTCAAGGGTTTACTCAAGTGAAGAAGGCCGTCGGCAAAACTGGACTAATGGGTAATGTATTGAACCAATTTGGTGATTTCGAACTCGCCGATGAGCTCAGGGACCTGTGGACCCATGAATCCAAGGACCTTGAGAGGACGTACTTCATCAGGACGCTGCAAGGAATTTCACAGCAGAAGGGTATTCGAATGACTTTCTTTTCCGGAGGTGAGTTCACATTCTGCCAAGCGCACAAGACTTTTGTTATTCGGTACTCACACCCAGAACAGATGTCAACTCGGCCGGCGCAGGCCTGGTGCACGACCCGTCGCACCCATCAGACCACAAGACCATGTACCAGATCATCACGTCGCCCATCGTGGCGTCGCCGTCAGGCAACTACATCCTCAAGATGCTGCACAACAACAAGCTGCTCTACGTGCCGGCCAACGGGCACAAGTCGACGCACGAGGTGTCGGACACAAAGGAGGACATGATGGAGATCTTCCACACGGATGCGTCGGGCGCGGCGCGCGAGCTCAAGAAGCTCATCGGCCGCCGCAACTACGCCGCGTGCGTCGTGTACGACCCGGACACGCTCAACGGCGGGGCCGGCGGCGTCGGGGGCGCGGCGGCCGCCAGCAACTACGCGCAGAGCACCACCGGCAGTGGCAGCGGCGGGAGCGCCGGCGGCTCGTCGGCCGGCCTCAGCAAGCTCAGCCTCGCCGTCGACTTTGTCGTGCAGGGCGACGGGCAGTTCACCATGCCGACCAAGTACGGCCCAGTCATCGTGCCGCACCTGGAATTTGGACACTGAGGAGCGCACGTGACGGCCCTAGTTTCTTTCCCAGTGATGGACTATTTTCCTTGGAGGTCGTCGTATTCTTGGTCCGCCTGTGGTAAGAATTCTACGGAGATGCACCGACAGACGAACGGCTATGCGATGGATCGGATGGAGTTTGGACATGGCTGGCCGTTTGACAGACAACGTGTCTTTTTTCTCTTTCTGTTTTTATTTGTACTGCTTTATTTTTTTCACACATATTCCCCCCCAGCCAGGCGGTAGACGACCTGTCCCTGACGATGTTCTGCATTTGGCTAGCATAAATACAGTTTTGACGTGAGATGATACAAGTTTCAATACCAAGGCGGGTTTGATGTTTACAGAGGCCAAGAGAGCTCGATCTGCACCACCCGCTTAGTCGGACATTTTTAGCTTTTTCTAAGCTCGAGTAGGGTCTACGGTCAATTCAGCACAAAACACATTGAGACTGGAATACATGGCTCAAGCAGTCTAGTATGGACAAGAAAATGTGGAGTAGGATAGTGAATTAAAATTATCTCTAGTCCATACTCCAACAACGTAGCAGCGTCGGCCAAGTCAAATTGACCACACAAGTAGTCTGCACAGGCCCATCCAAGCAATGAAATCCAAGCGCTTGACATCGCCCCACAAGAGTGCGCCTTGCTCATCGTAACCCATGCGTCATCCGCCTCGCCGACGACATAGCCGACGAGGGGAAAAAAAAACCCCCAAATGGAGAGACACTCAATCGCCTCCACAGTCGAAGACTGGGAAGGGAATGAGGTAGAAAGTAGGGTGAAGGAAGGGAAGGTAGGGGGTATCCAAATAAAAGGTGTAGTGGTTCCGGCCCTGTCGAGCAAAGATAAATGGAACATGTGTAGAGAAGAAAGCCTTGTCAAGACCCTAAAACAGGCGCCGGGCTGCCGAGATATCCCATCATCCCTCCCCTTCAGGCTCCTCCACAGTCGTCCATCCTCCGGCGTAGGAAGAACTCCATTGCGACCTCGCGGCCCTTCTTGCTAATGGCCTCGCAGAGGAAACTCTGCAGGCCGTCGATGTCCTTCGGCGAACAGAAGGTTGGGGCGTTGCGCCAGCTGCCCAGCCCTGACTTCAGCTTCTGGAAGTCCTCCCACGTGCGGTTGATGGTGCATGCCCTGTTGTGGGGGTAGCAGAGGACGACCTCGTAGACGACGGTGGAGGGGTTCTCCTTGCCGAGGCGGACTGCGCGGATCCATACTGCCTTTGGGAGGTGGCGTGTCGCGTTATATGTGTGGTGACATTTGCGCGAGTGAAGCTGAGGCTTGAGAGGGCTGGGAGAGTAGCGTCTTGTTGTTGTTGTTGTTGTTGCTGCTGCTGCTGCTGTGCTTGTTGTTGTGCTTGTTGTTGACGTTCGTGTTGGAGTTGTTGTTGTTGGAGGAGTTGGTGACGGTGTTTGTTGTCTGTAGTAGGACGTGCCGGCGTCTTCTTAGAGACGGGAGGCATCTGCCTGGGCCGACGCTCGTCAGGCTGGGGCTGGTGCCAGATCTGGATATGCATCTTGGTTGGTCTTTGAGAGTAGATCGATAGGTGTGTAGATTATTGCCTGGCTGTGATGTGAAGGTGCCTGAAGAAGAGAAGATGACAGCCCGCGAGAAAGTCGGGAGGCTGAGGCAGAATATAATAGTAAGGAATGACAGGCAAACAGATCGACTGTTTTGCTCAGATGCTCAAAGGAGAAACACTGCTGGAGACGACTTGTCTGACGGTGGGCTGATATATGAGAGGATGCGGCTCTGTAAGCGAAGAGCCTCATGTGACAACGTAAGATGGGGTTGGTATTTATCCATCTGGGCAGATCTTCAACAGCCGCAACGGCATAAAAACTGTCATCCAACAGTTCATTTGTCTGTGGCAGGACCCACAAGGCTGTTTGGACCAGATTCTTGGACGGGGGCAGACTGGGGGAAGGAAGCGAGGGGAGCGAGAGAAGCGAGGGCCCCAGCAAGAAGCAGCACAGCATTCCTATTCGGGGTGACGGGGCCAAGCAAGGCCCCCGAGCACGAGGGCCATGGGTCGTCAGGATGGTCAGGATGGCCAGGATGGCCAGGATGGGGTCACCAATAAACTGGAGCGGTGACGGACTGACGGCGAGTGCGGAGACTGCGGTGACCGCGCGGTGGACGGTGAGGGTGAGGGAGTCATTACTGTGCGGCGTGTGCCTATGTAAGGCATGTCCGCACATAGCAACTGGCTGTGCAGCGAGCGAGCGAGCGCGTTTGTGTGTAGCGACCTGAAACCAGGCGCCCTAGCAGGACTGTCGTGGGTTAAACGATCGCCCAGGCTGGCCAACCGGACGACGGTTTCGTTTGTTGTGCCACGACGGCGCATGAAGTGTCATTTCCGTCGCTCAGTGAACTGTTTTTGCGTCCGCTCGAGGCCTGCCTGTCCTTGTCGTCGCTTGCCCCTTTCGGCTCGAAATAGGAGACCAAGAGAGGGGACCACGGCGATCTGATCTCCAGCAAGGGGAAGGGGGGGGGAAACCAAACGATCGGGGGGCCACCAGTGGGAACGCGTGTACGTGCGTGTGTGTGTGTGCGTGTGGTGCGAGGAAACCTGTACGTAGTAAACATCGTTTCCAAAACACCGAGGGCGAGTAATACGGCTCCTTGTGAAGCGGTGGGCGGTGGGGTCTATGAATGTGTGCATCCAGCACAGACACGGGAGGATCTGGCGGGCATAGAGAAGCTTTGGCATAAAGTTCGGAGGAAATCTAACTGATCTCATTATTTTGATTATATCCCCAGGCTCACGGCCTGAATAGAATGGAGACTTTGTATATTGCCGTCGACAGTTTTGCCGGTGAGGCTGAATAGCTAACGCCTACACGCCCAGCACATGACGGCAGGCACCACGTATGCGGGCAGGTAATCTAAATCCGAGGTTGTCTACTGCGTGCATCGCAACCTACGGAAATTTGTTAGGGGGAGGAGGCTGAGGTGTGCCTTCCCAATCCGGGGGCAGACGGCGGGACCTGCCTCCAGGTGGGGTGGTTACCCTGTGGGCAAGTGGGCAAGTGGGCACCTGAAACGGGGCTAAAAATGGTTCGTGGGGCAGACGTGGACTGAAAACAAGTGCAATCAACGTTGGCTGGCGGTGCTATGGACCTCGTTCTCGTTACTGCTTGGCCAGCCTTGGGGGGGGGGTGTGGCGGCGGAGATCGACTCACCACGCACCACCTGCAAACGGAGCAGGCCACCGCACGTTTCGAGGCGCAACTATTTTCCCGCCATCAACTTGTGATCAGTGCGAGGCCATTCAGAAACATCGGACAACGCGGCCTTCTTGGCGGTTTCTAGAATGCCCCGGACGAGAGAAGGGGGAGGGGAGAGCGAGAGGAGTGGGACCACGGTGGTTTAATCTAGAGTGCTCTCATCGCTTGCCCTTCGCGTCGGCCTCTACCGCAGGACCGCAGCACTTGCCCAGGTGGTAATAATCAGAAGGCAGACACTGACAAGCTTTCCGAGGCTGCCTGCTGAGATTGTGATCCTCATGCTATGCAGCAGCTGGCAGCCGGCCAGTCCTGGGCAGCCCTGGCTGTTCCTGGAAAAGTGGGCTGGGCTGTCCATTTAAATGATGCACCTCCATCTCGATCGGTTACACTTACACGGGCTGCAGGCTGTTGGCCATCGACGGTGATCAGTGTTAGTTGTATGATACAACGTGTGAATGCCCAATGACGACAGTTGAACAACCTGTTGTTGATGATCGTCACAGCTGGCCAATTGCAGGCTCGTCAACGTATCTATGTAGATGCCTATATGTCTATCTTCCCAGGCATATGCCCAGATTTGGTGGTGGTGGTGGTGGTGGTGGATGCCGATATCAGGAATGCGCGACTGGGGAGTGCTGCCTGCTGACTGGTGGGGTGGCCAACCACCGCCACGAGATAGTAAACAGACTTGCCCACCTGCAGGCCAGTCTGGCACAGCAACCACAGGGCCCCTTGCCGGCGGGCGCATCCCGTGCCTTTGCCTTCCTTGGAAGGTCAGGCACGCCTGGCACGGCAGCCAGGAGTAAGTGAGTGCAGCAGCACTTCGCACCCACCCCTGCGCAAAACTTGGCCGCAGATCGCATTGATCCGGTCGGTCACGGTTGTTTGTGTTTGTGCCTGCGTCCCTGTATCCGCCCTCTCCCTTTCCTCCCGTCCTACTCTCCTCAAAAGCTGTATTTGCGACACTGCCAACGCGAATGCGACCGCGCTTGCGAAGACTGTCACGTCACCAATCTGATACTGCAACCACTTTGCTTGATTCGCGTCGCAAGCTCTCGCTCGTGTAGACGAAACCGCGTCATCTTGTGTTTCTTGCGACTGCTGTCATCTCACCTCTCCCACACAAGCTCGAGCTCAACCCCCCGCCGGTCCCAACCCGCCCCAGATCGACATGGCGTTGCAAGCCGTGTATAAGCAATTCCTAGCCGCGCCAAACTCCTCCGCGCTGGCCCAGAACGCGTCCCTGCACTACATTACCACCCTCTCCAGCTTCTACGGCCCGACAGACATCATTAAGCACCTCAACTCCACGCGCAACCAGATCAAGAAGAACAAGGAGGAGCTCCTCAATGTCGTCGAGGGCCAGAACGCCCTCGCCGTCCAAGCAGAGCTGACCCTCGAGTTCCAGGACACTGGCGGTCCTTACCTGCCCGGCCTTGACGACCAGTTCCTCTCAGACCGAATTGTCTACCTGCCTGTCGTAAGCCAACCCCCCCCCCCTTTTTGAGCGCCCTGGCCTGCCAAATTGGTTCGTGGGTCGACGTGGGAGCCATTCAAGTCATCACCGCTCGACTGACTTGGTTCTTCTGCCCTCTCTAGTTCCACGTCGTCAAATTCGACAGCGATGGCAAGATCACAACCATCCAGCAGAGCTGGGACCAGGGAGCCCTCCTGAAACAGCTGGATGTCATCGGCAAGACCGGTCGCAACTGGCCTATCCGCGATGGCCAGGAACAAATCAAGTTGATTGCAAGGACAGCTGGGAAGCCTGCCGAGCCCACTGCGTCAGACGCTGCAAACCGCTCTCGCACAAACTCCTCGGGTACCTTGCGCGACGCTCGACCCAAAGATGAGCCTGTCCCCGCCGTAATCTCGCCCTATGGTGGCACGCGGCCCCGCCAGCGAACCTTTGAGGAGATCCTCGGCGATGAGCACCACCACTTCGAGTCACCCGACCGCGAGAAGTCCCCAAGCAAGGCCGTCGCGCCCAAGATTGGCGCTGGCAAGAACTTCCAGCCCTCGCGCTTGTTCGACAAGCCCGAGGACGCGCCTCCCGAGCCAGACAGCCCCGAGGATGGCAAGTCTCCGGAGCGATTTATGAGGCCGCATCCCAAGAAGTATAACCACTTTGACTTTGCCGATGGGTCTGATCCTGCGGATGCGCCACAGGCAGGCGTTGCAATGCATTCTGTCAAGGGCAAGCACCGAAGCCAATGGGACTTTGAAGACTTTGTCACCCCCCAGAAGCCCAAGCCAGGCAAGACCCTTCGCACTCAAGAGATCAGGCATTGGGGGACTGGTAACGACAAGGACGATATTGAGGAGTCACCAGCCAAGGCTGCTGGAAAGCCGCGACGGGATGCGGAGAAGCACTTTGAGATGGAGGACGATGGTAACCCACCGACCGAGCCGCGTCCTGCCCCTCGCCCTCGCGGAACAGTGCACAACAGCGGGCTGGGCCTGTACAACAACCATATGACCACCGACGATGGTTCGGACCCCGTTCAATCGCCGGACCCTCGTGCCCTGGGCAACATCACCAACCTTAAGAACCGCTCCAAGACTTTTGCTCCTCACTTCGACATGAGAGACGAGTCGCCCACGCAGGCCACCGCGCCCCACAAGGAGAACAACAAACCCGTGGTTCTAAAGGAGAATGGTCCCGAACACCGCATCAAGCTCGGCGGAGATGGCATGGGCAATCCCAAGGGAGGTAGGGGCTGGTCGCTTGGGGACGATTCTGACGAGGAGAAGCAGCCGGCTGCGGTCCCGGGCAGGAAGGGCGCCGCTCAGAAGGCGGCGAACAGCTTCTGGGATCATTAGATGCCGGGCCCGCAAGATGACCACGGCTCATGCTGCAGCAGGAGGCGGCCTGGATGAGTCGCTGTGAGCGCCAACATATGCGAATGATACCCGGCTGACGACGATGATATGTTGGAAATGGCCTTTGATGATTAGATGTCTGCGCACGCACCCTTGGCAGAGACACGAAGGATAATCGTCATTCTTTTTCCCACCGCAACTTCATTCACTAGTCTTTTTGTACCACGCGGCGATCGCAGCAGGCAGGCCCTTGCTTGTGTGTGAGGCCACAGGAACGGAGAGGGCGTGACACCGAAGTGAAACGAATTGATACCCGTCTTCGGGGCAAACTCTTCTGGAGCGACACTTTTGGAATACAACGAAGAACGGACCAGCAAGGGATCCTGTGAGGCTGTGGATCGTGTATGATTTACGAGTCTTCTAAGGACTGCCTACCTTGAAATACCGATGGTAGAGCAGTGTGCACCCATATAGCAATAAGTGACTTCTCCGAGATACGCCTATCTGTGAGCCAGCCGGCGATAGCTGCTCTTGTTATGCTGCTTCTGCATTGTGCTCGCCAAACATGCCGCAATGATTGCTGTCTTGTCGGCAATACCACGGTTTTAGCAATATATAAGTGAACAGGTCTTCATGCCCTAGAATTACATCTCGATTGACATAGACGCATACCTGGATGTCTCGACTCTACACATAGTGAGTCTCCTTAAAATCACCAGAAAAGCCAGCGATACCCAGTAGGCGGAGCCAAATATGACAAGGCAGGAGGACCGTGGTGGTTGCTGGAGAACTTCCAAAGCGTTGGATATCCAATATCTAGAGATGAACCCGCGATTTGCGAGCGTGGGTAGTATAAATGCACCCGTCCACTGCGATGACCATACCCGAACCCACCGTGGACTGCTTCCTTAGTCTGGGTGATAGCCAGTCCTCTTATCTAGGTCCTGTCCTAACCAACGCCTCATGTTTGCCACAGTAGTTCCATATGACTATGTCGGCCCATACGCCCGGGATAAAACATGCCCGTCAAGGAGGTAAAGTAGAGGGCGCTCAATAAACCCACCCCCTCCCCCTTACACACACATATACGGAATCAATGGGGATTGTACGTAGAGTAATAATATAAGTGAATTACTCAATAAATAACTCCACCTCCCGTGCGTCGACCCGGTCAACAAAAGAATTTATACCACTTCTTCCACTTGGGCCAGCTGCGCTTCTCCTCCATCTCCTGCGCCAGCAGCACTGAGAGGTTGAAGTCGCGCCGGCCGGTGTCGATGTCCATCTCGCTGTTGCGCACGATGCGCGTGCGGAACCACAGCTTGTAGCCGACGTACATGATGATGACGACGGGGGCGGCGGTGTAGTTGAGGAAGAAGGTCTGCACGTTGGCCTGGACGCTGTACTCGCCGTAGTTAACTGGCCAGGCCCCCGTCCAGAACTGGGCGGCGAGGATGAGGATGTTGAGGGTAAGGCCGACCCAGGAGCCGGCAACGCCGGCCTGGGCGCGGAAGGCGAGCTCGTCGAGCGAGCGGCCGTGGGCGCGCCACGCCATGCGGAAGCGGATGTGCGCCAGGCAGATGGACCCCCACGTGAAGATGGACGACAGCGCGGAGATGGCAAGGAGCCAGTTGAGCACCTCGCCCTGCTGCGGGATGTCGGCCAGGTACGCGAGGAAGCCGAACAGCGACGCGCACAGGATGGCCATCAGCGGCCGTCCGCGCCGGTCGATGTACGACAGCCATGCCGGCGCCTGGCCCTGATCCGCCAACGCCGCCAGCGTGCGACTCGAGCCGAACACGGACGAGTTGCCCACGCTCATCACCGCCACGAGGATCACCACGTTCATCACGCTAGGAAGAACCTGGATGCCCGCGTCTTGGATGGCGATCACGAAGGGACTAGCACTCGTGTCGGCCACGGACTTGGCTCCCAGGAGCCTCTCGTCGTCGTATGGGACCAGCAGCCCGACGAGCGTCAGCGCCAGGATGTAAAAGAGGCTGATGCGCCAGAAAACCTGCTTGATGGCCGTCGGCAGCGACTTGCGCGGGTTGGCCGTCTCCGCCGCCGCGAGACCGACCATCTCGGTGCCGGCGAAGGCAAAGGCGGCGGTCACGAAGACGCTGCAGAGCCCTTTGAAGCCGTTGTTGAACGAGCCTGGGTTCTGCCAGTAGCTACCACCTATGTAGCCACTGTCCTGAGTGCCGCCAATGTTGATGACAACTCCGAGTAAGCTTCATATTGTCAGCATAGGACGACTTAACGTAGGGAAAGTGTGCCAAGTAGACTCACATGAAGCCTATGACAGCCGTCACTTTGACTATGGCGAAGATAAACTCGGCTTCACCGTAGCCTTTGACGCCACACAGATTGATAGCTATAATGACGGCGAGGAAGACAGTTACAAACACGGCCTTGTTGATGCCAGCGTTCCAATAGGATATTGTGATGGACGCCGCTATTATTTCCAATGGTAACACTATTAACCATTGGAGGGCATAGCTGTGACAACTCAGTTAGTACCCTGCCATCCAGTGTCCTGAATTGGGCTGTCACTTACTTCCATCCCATGGCAAAGCCCCATGCCGGGTCCAGGAACCTGGTTGAGTAGGCAGAGAATGATCCAGCGATAGGGAATACGACGGCAAGCTCGCCCAGAGCCTGCATCACGCAGTAGAGCATTAACCCGATAATCATGTAGGCGAGCAAAACCGATGCAGGTCCGCCAGTATTTAGAGCGGATCCAGAGGATATGAACAGCCCGGTTCCTGTGGTAAAACGTCAGCGAAAAGAAAAGAATAAAGAATGAGCCGCGCGTTGGACGTGAAGACGAATAGAATGCATAAGTAGGCGAGGTAGAGACCCAGCTGGTACCTAGGTATCTTCGCCCAAGACCGTGCGCAATGTTGTAGTCGACACTCGACCAGAAAGTCAATTCAGGGGAGAAATGCACAACGTCCGCACCGTTGGAGCGCTGGCACTTGAACCAGCGCCAATCCAGGCCCGGACACACGGTAACTCGACGGACATGTTCCAGAACACGGGCATGCGAAAGCGCCACTGACCGATGGAGCCACCTATGGCAATCATTTGCAGATGCCTCCCTTTCAGCTCCCTCGCGAGCAGCGAGTGCGCGGTGCGGTAGTTAGCCGCGCGGACGTCGTAGTAGTTGCGGCCGGGATGGTGGCCATCGTCGTCGTCGTCCTCATCGTCCGGGCCGGCGGGGCCGCTGCCATGACCCAGGCGGGGCCAGCCCGGGTTGGCGGTAAAGGCGTTCTTGGGGGTCATCCTGCTATGAGGGTCCCGGCGGAACGAGTCTACCCAGCGGCGCCACCTGTCCGGGCCGGCCTTCGACAGCCTGCGGGGCATCTCGTAGGTGGGCTCCCTGGTCAGGTAGGATTCGCCGTTTGCCAGGCTGTAGTCCTCCTTGAAGTTCAGGATGTTAAGCTCGATGTCGCGTTCTGCCTGATTCCCGGCCATGGCTTCCTCGGCGGCGCGGGCGGGCGGGTTCGGTGTCTGTCACACCTCGGAGGGCGGCAGTGAGGGTGACGTGCCGTGGGTGGCTGGCTCTCGAGGCCGTTCGAGTCGACTTTGATCTGTCGACCGTGCCCTTCCTTTCCACCAGTCTTTCTCGTCTCGGTTTCGAAGTCTCCTGGATGGAGACGGCTCCTCGGTTGCCTGAGGAGCAAGAAGGGCGTCACCGCTGTGGGAGCATGCGCCTCGGGCGTGACAGCATTATTGCGATGCTTTGGAGGTCGCAGAAGCACCCATGTACGTGTCCCTGGTATCGTCGTGTGCCGTTCTGGTCCCAATTGCCTATCTGGATCCAAACGGGACGCCGTGTTGGGAAAGTGCGCTCGTGATGCGTTCCGTAGTCCCGGGGTTCCGTGGTTCCGCAGTCCGAGTGTGTATGCGCTCGTAAGCCTGGAAGTGGAGCAACGAGGCGACCGGAGGAGCAATAGACCAGATCTTGTAAGAGGAGAAGAGAGAGGGTGTGTGAGAGGGATAGTGGAGGAGATCAAGTTGTCTCACAGATAAAATGCCAAGACAGAGAAGAGGAAGGTAGAGCAGAGGAGAGGAGATCGGCAGTGGTCAGAACAGCCCACTCGGGGGTAGGCGTGGCTGGCCCTGCGTTGGCCTGCCCTGCCCGGCCAAGCTGAGGCGCAAGTGGTCGGTCGACCCCAGCGCGGCCTTGTTCTTATCTTGAGGCGCGCCTAGCTCACACCAACTATGGTCAGACAGGCAGGGTACCCAGGTAGCACTGTGGATATCTAGTAGGCTGCGATCCAAGGCGGTGTGAGTGGCTCCTTCCCCATGACCCTTGCCTGGCCCGAGGCGCTGGAACGGTTGGGGGACATCCGCCCATCTTGGCCCATCCCGTGGGCAGGGGGCATCCTGCCAGCCTGGCTGGCTGCTTGGCTTGCCGCATGCAGATCAGATCGTAATCTGATGGATACCGACGCCAACCTCCACCTCCATAGCTATTGCGGGCGGCCAGACTTTATAAGACGTCGTATCCACTCCTCCTGGATTTGTACCCACTCCTGCTGAGTTCAACCTCCTTTGATATCACAGCGCTCTTGCTGGGCAAGGTCTTTGCAGCTGAAGTCTGCTGCACTCTCAGATCCTGGGGAGGAGGGATTATTTGATGCCTGGGTTAGTGAAGAGTTCTAAATGCACACGTTATGAGTCCCCTGCCTGTTTCGCTCGTCTGTAAATGAGCTGCTGCTACCAGGGTGGTGTGGTGCTGACGGCCGGGAGCCAGTGTTTGATACAGATGTAGCTCGTCCAGAACGCCTAGTACCAAGCCTTCTTCTGCCATTCACGGGAGCAACCCCTCACCTTTCTCCTCTGTTTGCCTTCTATTTCCCTAACATCCTTGGGATAACCAATCTCCAACCCACGCAACGGTAACACAGCACAGAGGCATTTACATGAGCATCCGTGATCAATATTCACAAAGCAGACAGGAGCCTCACCCTGATTATACCTTGAAAAACATAGAAATTGTACAGATACTTAAAACATCATCTCCCCGAATAGTACCAGGAAACGTCGAGATTACACCAGCTCACACGCTCGCGTGTCAAAGGCAGGGAGAGATGCCATTCAGTGAAACGAACAGACCTGACCATGATGGGAGGTACCTAAAAATTTCCCATCAAACTTGATTTCGTGACCTATCTTATGTGTTCCCAACCGCACACGTGATAGAGATCCACCAAAAAGAACCTACAAGGCCACTTGCTAGCCAGCGAGCAAGGTCGTCTATTTCTGTAGTGTGGACAAGTTCGTCGCTTTTTAATTGTCAAACTCTTGACATCATAGCACAGTGGTCTGTAATATACAGATTCCGGAAGTGATTGGTAGGCTATGCTAACAATTCCAAGAGGCGGTTCACCTCTTTGCCTGCGGTTTAATGTTCGTCAACAAATCGGAAAATTTCCGGCAAGAAACCCAACTTTCCCGTAGCACTTAACTTTCTTCGTGGGGCCTGGCTGTCACTGTGTCGGAGTACACTTTGGTATGTGGAAAATGTTGTTTTCGCCGTTTCTTCGCACCTGTTTTGTGTCGCTGCTTATCTGGAGTGGTTGCTGCAGGCTCCTTAAATCCGGGTTCTTGTTCCGAGAACCGTGTCCAGGTCGGTTAAGCCTACGGCACCGAGGTTGGACTGGCCCGAAGACCAAAGTTTAATCCGGGCCATGGACCTATGTGCTTGATGCACTTGCTCAGTCCCGCTGTGATCAAATCGTTCAGTGAGATATAGGCAATTATGTAGTAAGCTACCAAGGGTAGATTGTTTGGAGCCATATCCTCATGATCTTCAACGTACCTGATGTACCGAGTCTACATTGTGGAGATGAAGTGCCTAGGCAGGATCGAGGTGAAGGATAAATTTGATGAGGTTGAAACTGACGGAATTATTGGTTTTCTTGCTATAAATCTAGCAGAGGCAAATCCATTGGGCTTTCTCTTCAGGCTCTTGAGATGTTAGCAAAGGTGCTCATAGATAACCATGTAATTGCAGATGATACTTGATTAAGCTACGTTATTCTGTGCCCTGCCCCTTTTTTATATTATCAGGCGAAATGTGCTTGCATGTATGATTTGCCTAGATAATGTAATCACAGCCCCAGGGAATGTGACGCAGCAGTGGCTTCCTCTGCTGAGGCTTTAAACCTTTGTTCTAAATTTGTCGGTGTGTATAAAACCCACTGCTCCTCTATTTGTGCTGGTTCCTCTAGCTACGTCCTCTTGAATTTTGGTCTACAATTTGCCCAGCATCGAGCCATCCAAGCTACCCACTACGATGGCTATCGGACAGAAGGAGACGTTTTTGATTCGCGATGCAGCTTTCAGTAATCATGGGAGATGTTGTGCAGCCGCAGAGCTGAGAACAACTATTCTGGATTGGTACAGGATAGCCATGAAAACAGTAAGCGACATGTAGGACATCGAAGTGAGACACCATGTTCGCCAACTCAAGCGAAGATTATCAGGCTATGCAAATGAAAAACCAATAGACCCCTGGAAAGTTGCCTGTGTGTTCCACATGTTTGACCGTTTCGGGTCACTGCTTTTCCGCAAGTCCAGGGTCTTTGGCGCAGAGGAGACACACAGCAAGCAGGCTGCCAGGCAGACATGGAGAGCTGTCGCATGTCACATCTAGTCTGGCAGTCAAGCCATACAGAAAAAGATTATACCCAGAGTCTTTAAATACACCCTGACCCCGCAGGTCTGCAGAGTGTTGGGTCTCACGTTGTTGGCAAGTACGACCCTCGCACTTAGAAGGCTACTTTAGTTATCCCCTCCGGGGCACGTAGCCTCTCAGAACTAAGACAAAACAACACTAATATACGATTGCTTCCCATATAATTATTATATATATAAGAAACTTACCAATATTAATTAGTAATTATAGGCACTATAAATTAATAAGGTAGAAAAGGCAACTCCATAAAGATTTCCCTAACTTAAAAATTATATTCTCCTTATTAATAAGCATTATATAATAATAACTACTTCTTTAAGCCTCCTTATATTATTAAACTCCCTAAGCAAATATTATAAAGATTAAATAAATTAAGTAGCATTCCTTATAATATTTATATATATATTTATTGCCATTTAAGAGATATATATTTATTATATATAAAACTTTATTAAAAATAAACTTATTTTTAAATCTTTTTTAAAACTTAGTAAAACCTAATAAAGCTTTATTTTATTAATAAATAAAGCTTATAATTATTGTAATTATTAAATAAATAAAGCTTATAATTATTATAATTATTAAAGCTAATGCAACGTTATATTATAAATAAGCGCAAATCATGCATTATACTTTTAATTAATATAAAAAAACTTAATAATAAAAGAAAGCCTTAGCTTTTAAAGCCTAAAGGAATTAATAACTTCTTTCTCTTAATAATTATAACTTGCTTATTATTAAATTATCATTATTAACTTACTTTTAAATATTACTTATTTTATTAATATTTCTTTATTTTATTAATCTTACTTTTTATAATATTTATTATAAAAACCTATAAGCATAATTAATAATATTAAAAAGCTATTAACTTTTATTAAAAAGTATATAATTAATAAAATGCTTACTTAAACTTTAATTAACTTAGCTTATTATAAATATATTAACTTAAAATTATAATTTACAGCCTTTATATAAAAAACATTAATAAAATACTTAATTACTTATTTAATAAGTACTTTAGCAAGTTATATATAATAAAACCTTTATAATAATAATCTTTTCATTACTTATTATAAGGATTATATAATATAAATATAAGCAATATTTAAAGTATTGTTAAATTTTTATTAATAATGCTTAAAAGTCTTCTTTTAAATATAAGGTATTTATATAAAATATAACAACTAACTTATAGCATTATAATTAATTGCTATAGCTTAAGCTAAGAAAAGATTAAAATAAATTAATAATAAGCTTTATAATGCCTTATTAGCCCTAAAATTAAGCATAAATAAATATTATATATAACTTTAAAAACAGTAACTATAAGTATAGCCCTTATAAACATTATAAGCAAGCTTTAAATAATAATAATTATTAAGAGAATAATCCCCGAAATAACTTTTACTGCCGCTGCTAGCTTTAAATGCATAATTACAAAACTTAAACTTAATAATGCAATTTATTAAAAATTAATATAGCTAATAAGGCTTATTATTATTAATAAAAAAATAAAGATAAAGCTTATATTAAAGATATATATTATATTTAATATAACCTTAAGCTGCCTTAAAAATGCCTTCGCTAAATAAGAAATATAACCTATATAAAACTCTTTCCTTATAATATATTCTTAATAAGCACTTAAATTTAGCAAAGTTAATATAATTTATAAAAATCTTTAATAATTTTTATAAGTATATTAAGAATTTATATAACTTGCTAAATAATAAGATAAAGATATTTTTTAATATTTATTATTATA